GTGGTACCCTCAGGATAGAGGCATACGTATTCCTAGGATGTTGCTGAATTTGTGAGCTAGCTCTGGCTGGGCCAGTCACATTAAAAGTTTCCTTTTGTTTTCAGTGAGGTACTCATGAGACACTGGCACACAAACAATACTAGGAATAACTTAAAAAACTACAAACAGCCTGGTAGCAGCTTAAAGACTAACAAAACATGTAGACAGTGTCATGAGCTTTCATGGGCACAGCCCACTTCTTCAGATGACCGGAGTGTTGAAGTCCTGATCCAAGAATAAATAAGGGAAGGAGGGAGGGGGGAGAAGGAAAATAAATTGAAGGGGAGGAAGAAAAAAAGTCAGTTAGTAGATAAGCTTCAGAGGAATAGCCAAGAAGGTCTGTACCAGGAAAAACTTAAAAAACAACAGTTAGTCTAGTAGCATCTCAGAGACTAAATAATTACAAGAGGCTGATAAGAACCATTAGTTCTGGAAACCTGATGGCCATTGCCTGGGGTCTGTCTGGCAGGAGTCTGTCTCCAGGTAAGACTGGGTTATAATAGCTAGACCAGAGGACCTGAGCATAACCTCCTACTCCCCCCAAATGTTGAAGCTCACACAGCAGCCTGCATAAGATCAAACTAAGCCAGATGTGATCTAGGAGGCACTTAATAGTTTGGGTCACGCTGCATCACTGACCACCTATTTATTCACTACTCTCAGAAGTTTGGGTCACGCTGCATCACTGACCACCTATTCGCTACTCTCAGAGCTGGCAGTCCTCCACTGGGGGCTTCAATCAGTCTGGCTCAGGATACAGCTCTCCCATGTATGGGACTGAACAGAAGTACCTTATTGCCAAACATCAGGCAGAGTCCACCCAACCTTCTTTGATGCCCAGTGACGGCATCTCCCTTGGACTACTTGAGAGATTGGAAGGGAGAAAGACAGAAAAATAGAATAGAGAAGCAGACAGAAAACAAACAAGACCAGGAGAACATTCACTGTGAGTTTTAGTTTTTGTGCAGTGCTTAGATATTTGCTGTGATAGGAACCACAGACAATCCCGAGACAGATAACTACTATTCAATACAACTGGGTTAATTCAAATATGGGGTATTCAATACAGTACTTTGATATTTAAAATTTCCTAGGTCTCTATGGACCCAGAGCTCTATGATTCCTTACTTTGGCCATACACAAACAGAGAAGAGCTGTTCTTTACCTGACATTTCTGAGAATTTCCTTTTCTTCTGCTTCTTTTGAGAAAAAGGACCTGGTGGTGATGTGGACAAAGTAACTGATATTTTGGAAAGCCAGAGTTGGCCCGGGCACAGTCAGCTGGGCAACAGCTTCCTGAGAATCAGTGAGTTCCATGCCTGGGAGTCCAAGATCTGTTCAAACTAGATGGGAGAGGGGATGGACGGATGTTTCTCTTTGGATTAAAAACCTTGTCAAGGGCAAAAATCTGCAGAGATTTTTTTTTCAGTGTCCTTGCCACCAAATCTCTGTGTCTGCTTTCTCAAGTCCGATTGTTGAACACTTGTTTTTATCTGTAAAACATGCTGCAAAATCTTATTAGAGTCAAAGTCCTTCTCTGCTAAACTGCAATATAATTATTGCTGATATCAGACCGTAAAATGCAATAGGCCAAGTCCTTTCCTCCACTGACTTCACTGGTCTTTGCTTCAAGAATGACTTTGGCCTAATGAGTGGGGACATCCATAAATGAATGGAACTTTGACACTAGAAAATAACAGTAGAACAAACTGGAGTCCTCTGCAAGGGAAGCTGCACCTGGATCTTTACCTGCTGCCCATCTCTCTGGCTTTGTCAGTCCGGGAAGGAGCACCACACTGCTCTGCCCCTGTGTGTGACAGAAACAGTGAGAAAATGGCAAGGTCTGTGAGCTTTATAAGGCACTGGAATTTTAGCCGGAGAGAACTGGTGAGAGGCCCAGATGGTTCCTTACATTGCACTTCCCCTAGTATGCAAAAGGTGGGAGAGAGGGTGTCATAATGCCATTTGGACAGTAGGTGGCACTCACTACTTACAAGTTTGATCTTTGCTTTTGGCATCTGCTGTTCCCAGCAGGCAGAGTGTAACCCTGTAAATCTACTGTGCTGCCTGCCTGAAGGCATTTTAATCCTAGACGACTTCAGAGAGATGCAAAATAAGAGCAGGACCACTTATCATGGTGTGGCATAGTCACACTGTGTGCAGGCTGAAGCAAAATGCAGGACAATGTAGCACTTTAAAGACTAACAAGATGGTTTATTAGATGATGAGCTTTCGTGGGCCAGACCCATTTCCTCAGATCAAATAGTGGAAGAAAGTAGTCACAACCATATATACCAAAGGATACAATTAAAAAAAAGAACAAATATGAAAAGGACAATACAATTAAAAAAACTGAACAAATATGAAAAGGACAAATCACATTGCAGAACAGAAGGGGGATGCGGGGGGGTGGGAAGGGGGAGGAAGGAAGGTAAGTGTCTGTGAATTGATGATATTAAAGGTAGGGAGAGTGGGATGTTTGTGAGTTAATGGTATTACAGGTGATAATTGGGGAAACTGTCTTGGTAATGGGTGAGATAGTTCAAATTCTTGTTAAGTCCTTGTTGGCAAGTGTCCTCCTCCCCCTCCCCCCCGCATCCCCCTTCTGTTCTGCAATGTGATTTGTCCTTTTCATATTTGTTCATTTTTTTAATGGTATCCTTTGGTATATATGGTTGTGACTACTTTCTTCCACTATTTGATCTGAGGAAGTGGGTCTGGCCCACGAAAGCTCATCATCTAATAAACCAACTTGTTAGTCTTTAAAGTGCTACATTGTCCTGCATTTTGCTTCAACTACCCCAGACTAACACGGCTACATTTCTATCACTATTCTACATGTGTGCAGGCTGTGATGCAGCGGGGTTATAGTTCTGAAGGCTGAGGGGGCACAAAGATAATCCCCTTCCAGGTGCTACCTTCTGATCATTTGCACAACTCATGTAACATAAGGTATGAAATGCAGGGGTGGGCAAAGGGTCAAATTCAGACACATACAGGGGCAAGAACCCAGAAGAGTCTGGAGAGGTGCAGCAGGCTGTGCGCTGGATAAATATTACATCATCTGAACCTTGCTAATTCTGCAACAAGGACACCCCCTGCAAACAGGGTTGCCAGCAGTGCCCTTACTTAAATAAACTTAAAAAACAATGAATGGTCTGGAAGCACTTTATAGACTAACAAAACATGTAGATGGTATCAGGAGCTTTCCTGGGCACAACCCATGATACCTTCTACATGTTTTGTTAGTCTGTTCAGGATAAACTTAAAAAACAACAATGGATCTAGTAGCACTTTACAGACTAACTTGGCTGTCCCCTGAAGCTTCTTAATTAAATAGAAAATTGCCTGTCTCATACTACAGGACAACTTTTAGCTAGTATTTCAACAGCAGTGAGGCTGTACTCATGGGTGTATCTTTCTACTCCCCTGCTGACCCAGGTCCTTCAGTGCTGCAAAGGGAAGGCAGACAGAGTCATGTGCAGGAGCTTAGGGGTTGGTAGGAGAGTAGAAAAGATGGACCCAGGAGCATTGGCTCCTAGCTGGATGGGGCTCCTGCAGATTCCAGCCCTTAGCTCAGTTTGCTTTCCCAGTGCAGGCTCTGTCTGGCAAGGCAAGTGAATAGAGCTGGATGCCCTGGAGCTGTGCTGAAGGGCCAGGGCCAGGAAAGGGCTCTGTCTGGCAGGGGGTTGGTACCCAGGGGTGTGGTTCTACCAATATGCACCACAGAGTGCACAGCACCACAGCAGCCACAGCTCAGCCGCTGGCACTGTGCAGCGCCTGAACAGGAGTCGCAATGGCTGCTGGGCCAGCACCTGTGGCCTGGGTTCTCAGAAGCACCCACAACCTGAGAGAAACTCTGGGAAGCACGGGAGTGGGGGAAAGGGAGGTTCAAGTCAAGATGGAGACATCTGGAATCCCAGAGGTTCAAGTCAAGATGGAGACATCTGAGGTCTGGCCTGTATTTTTTAAACACCATGTTGGCAATCCTAATTGCACATGGCTGATTTTTTGCTAATTAGCAATTAAGGGGCCAGTCCTGCTCCCTCCCTCCAAAGTGAGGATGGCCCTCTTGCAGCAAAACTCAGCTGGGGACAGGCTCCCTGCAGCGTGCAGAGTCCACCTCTGTGGGAAGGTGGTGGAGGGAAGGTGGAGCAGGCTCGATTAACCATTTCTTGTTGGCTGTTAGTCCTTTCCTGGTAGCAGACAGGGTGGTGAGAAGGGAAGCCTGGGAGAAGGGGTAGCTGGAATGCACTGAAGAAAGGCTTGGTGAGGTAACAGAACCAGGGGCCTGCCACCTCCTTCTGCAGACCCACAGACAGGCCCAGGCAAAGAGTTTGCAGGGCCCAAGGTGGCACGCTGACAGCGGGGCCCAGCCGGCAGATGCTCTAGGTTAAGTCAAACCCAGTTGAGGGGTTACAGAGTCCAGCCCAGGCAGCACAAGTCACTCACTGGATATATTCAACAACATACTGTCCAGGTCAGATTCTCTGCTGACCTGTGTGACTCTCCCCTCCATACAGATCAAACATAATCTGCCGCGGACAGGGAGAAAGGCCAGTGGCTTGGGGCTGCATCCCAGCTCACTAGGCCCAAACACAGCCTAGAGCTGCCAACACACGTGCAGGCTGGGCCAGCTCCCGCAGCCTTGCCAATGCAGCCAGGCTGGAGCCCAGATGCCCACCCTGATAGGTGAGGGGACCCCGGCTGGGGCAGTGGCAGGGTGCTAGGCTGTGGGGCTGGCCAGGCAGGGACCTATGGAGATCTGTACAAAAGCCAGTGAGATGAGCAGAAGCAGCAGCCCCACGGCAATGCAGGTGACCAGTTTGTCCAGCTCCAGCTGCCCCTTGTACTTGGGCTTGGTACAGCGCAGGGCCCTGAAAGTGCAGGGCCCAAGGCAACCACCTTGCTTGCCTTGCCCTAAGGCTGGGCTTGCCCACAGAGATTCTTTGCTCCCTCTGTAATAATCCCCAGGCTGCTTTACCCCTCTCCATGCAAATCAATCACAATACATTTTGGGGGGTCCTGGTCACTGGTGCAAGTCAGCTGGTACGTCAGGGTTGTACAGACAGGGCTGGTGTCCTCCTTGGGCCACACAACAGAACCTAGGCTGTGTGAAATTCTTCTTTCTACAGTAGAAAGGCTGCTGTACCATTAAGACACTGATTGATGCTTTGCTGTACTGGAAAGACACATTTTCAGAATCACAGCAATGAAAGGAGCAGAACATGGAGCCACTACTCCAAGGAACCTGCACCCAGCGGCTCTCAGCCCCTGGTCCACAGCCTAGTACCATGCTGCGAGCTGCTGGGCTGCAGCAGCTGCCGGCACTGAAGCGAGCTGTTCATGGTGGCTTTGGGGGCAGGGCTCACCCCGGGCTCCTGAGGCGCCGCAAAGCAGATGGCTTCAGCTCTTGCAGCCATGGTGGCTGATTTTGCCCAGCAGTGGCGATGGGGCTGAAGTGGCGGCAGGAGGAGGTGGAGCAGGAGGCGCCTTCCTTCCTCCTCCCCCTGCCACCCAGGTGGGAGGGTGGTCCAGATGGGACTCCACGCTCCCTCCCACCTCTTCCCATGGGGGCGCAAGATGTGCTTGGGGAAGAAGGGGGTGAAAAGGAGGAGGGAGCACACACGCCACCAATGGCTGCTCCCCCTGCCTGCAGTATAGTAATGGCCACGCTCCCTAAAGGGGCAGCCTTGCTCTGCGGAGTGCAGGGGTGAGGTGGGGGCAAAGAGGTGTTGGGTGAGGGTGTGGTGGGGTCACGGGACAAGAGGGTGTTGGCACAAGCTGTAGGGGTCAGAGGTTAAAAGTCAAGGGTCAAAGGGCATGCAGCGTAGGAGAGGGGGTCAGCTGGAGCCAGGTGCAGCACAACTCGTGCTTCTGTCTCAGGGGCAGCAGATCCGAGGGTGTCTGAGCAGGGTCGGGGGCCTCACAGCTTGTGGAACAGGCAGTTGCAGGGTCAGTGGGGCAGGATCAGGGTTTGGCACAACAGGCAGTCATGGCGATTATGGAGCAAGGGGCACCGGGGCTACTGGGGCAGGATCAGGGGGCACTGGGAGTGGTAGGGCAGGATCCAGGGAAATGGGAGGTTGTCAGTTTAAGTCCGGGGTCGCTGGGACACAGCGTGCCAAGGCCGGTAGTGACAGCGGATGCAGGACAGGCTCCAGGCAAGACAAAGGTGGTTGACAAAAGGAAACTGGCAGAAGGGGATGGTGGGCACTGGGGTGACAGGCATGTAGTGGGGCTGGGGAGATATAGGGGGGATCAGATGATGGGTTTGGCAGGTTTCGTAATACAAAGACACAGAGTACCAGAGTTGG